ACATCCAACGTCCACCACCTCACCTGCTTTGTTCTTATGGTTTGTGGTCACGCTGTTGAATTCTGACTTGTCTATTTCCCATGCCAGTGGAAGCTTTCCAAGACTGCCAGACAAGTCTTCCAAGTTAGCATCTTCACCGTAGATTATGTCTGAAGCACCAGTTTGAACACCCAGCAAGCTAGGTGTGTTATTTCCAACGTTTAAGGCAGCACTGCTTGACAGGCAGGCACTAACTGAAGCACTTGGGCTTTTACAAATAGATGTTACTCTGTTTAAAAAAGCATAGTCTGAGCAAATGGTATAAAATTTCTCTCGTGTATGAGTCACAGGACATCCCCATGGGTAATGCCCATCTCCCCTAGACACCAGCGATGCAGTGGAGGTATCTGACATGCAGTATGGCTTTACGGGATCATGAAGAGAAGCTTCTGGGGATTCTTTTCCAGGTTTCTTTCCAGTGTTTCCATTGTTTCCAGAACCATTCTCCTTTTCCTCTTCCGAAATGTTAGGCATTGAATTGTATTGAAAGAGTATTGTACAGCTATGAATATTTTGGTTTATGTGGTGATTAGCACACAGTTTGCATCATTGCCTCCATTGCCACTGCAAGCTATCGACGAGGTACCTGAAAGGAAGTGAGATGTTAGTACTGGTGCCTTAGTCAACCTAAAAATACACACGAAGAAATACACATTTCTGAGCCTGCATACTAATACACCGAAAGACCTTTCAAAATATATCAAAACACACATCTAAGCGTCTCTAGAATTCTATAAACAGCACTTTTTATTATTTCTGAAGTGCCAACCACCACAGCGATACTGCAATGGGAACATCATGAGCAAATACCCCCATAAACCTGCACAGGAGCTCAACACGGATTGTAACAGCTCCCTACGCTTACATAATTGTGGTTGATTACTCCTGCCCCCTTAAGGTCACAATACCTTGCTCAGATAAAGCATAAAATGATTTATACAAAACAACAGACCGCTAAACCGCTTAATTTTGAAGCAGCCTGCACGCTTCTGCCGCAGGCAAAGTTCAAGCGGGCAGAAAATGGCAGTAACCCTCATCCCTGCTCACTGCAAATCAGACAGCAACGCCCGGCAGCAGCCCCGGGGTCCGGCCACCATCCACCAAGGCCCCTCACAGGCCGGGGGGGGGGGACTCAGGAGGTAACGGCCGCAGGGGGGGAGGGGTGGGGGGGTGTTGAGGGCTCCGCTCCGCCGCCCCCGGCCCCTGCCCGTTACCTGCGCGCCTCCCCGCGGCGGCGGAGCGGGAACGAGCGCGCGCCGGAAACGGACGCGGCGCGCGATGGCGGGCGGAGGGAGGGAGGGGGGGGGCGCCTGACGCGGTTGCTGCTCAGTGTCTCAGTGTTCCTCCCCCCCCCCCGCTGGTCCCTCATGGTCTCGTCCGGCGGGCCGGGCCTTGCGGGGGGATGGGGGGGAGGCGGGCGGGAGAGGCAACGGGGAAGGAGGGCGGGGGGGTGAGGGGGGTTACCTGCATGGTAGCTGCCGTGTGGAGGGGCGGGGCTGTGTGGGAGGGGAGCGCTCTCACAAGCCCTCAGCAACCTGGCGCAGGGAGCCCGCGCTCTCTCGGTGTCCGTGGGGCCGCGGCACAAGCGCAGCGAGGATGCTTCAGGAAACTGTCTGAGGAGACAAAAGGTTATTTCAGAAAACGGCGTGTAGAGGTGCAGGAAATGTTTTTTTGCCTCATCCTTGCAGTGGTATTTTCAACGTCGGCAAGTACGGTGATTGAAGACGTGAGTGGGGCGCTTTGGGCACAGCCACAATTAATTAAAATGTATTTATATTAAAATAATCCGATTTGTAACATTAAATAATCATTTATATGGCTCACTGTGGTTATTCCAGAATTTAAAAAAAAAAAAAGTGAAAAACTTGAAGTGTGTTGCTGAGAGAAGATTCAGCACTAGTACAACATAGTGCCCTCAAACACATGCCCTAATCCAAGCAAGTTTCTGTGAACAGTGCTTCAAATAATGGCAATAAGCGTTTAGATCTCCTCAAAACTCCTCATTAAATCTCCTCAAACACTGGAGGTGGTTGGTAGTTTTCAGTGATGAGGTTGAGCAAAGCGGCAAAAGCTCTGTAGGGCTCGTTGGTAGGGCAAAGTTTGCCATCCCATGCCCATAAATACGATAAGCCCTATATCAATTTCAGGACTTTGTGTGGCTTCATCCTAAAGCAACCTTCCTCTTGGATGGAGAACAGAACCCCTCCTGCCTTTGCCAGCTGGAAGCCTGTTGAGCCTTAGTCGGCCAACAGCCTTTGAAGTAATTAAACAATTCTGCCTCCAAAGCATTTTTCACTGAGCCAAATTACGAGCATTAGGGTAGCAACAATGTTGGCTTTGCCAGCCAGAACTAAAATTAGGTTGTGTGATTTATTTTACAGCTTGTTTGGGTGCTGACAAATAGTGCCAAATCTGTACACAGACTCCCCAAGCTGTATTTATGTGGGGGAAGGAAAACTGGAGGAGAAAGACAGGAGGGTTGAAATGTGTCACCTTTATTTCATCACTGTTGCATTTTCCTTCATGTGTCAGTGCCCCCCTACTAGGAAGAGCTAGTACACGCTTGGATTTCTACAAGTATGAAATTTATTTTTAAGCAAAAAAAAAAATCTAATTAAAGTTCTATTAAAGGAGGCTAGCTTGTTTCAAACAGCAAAGCATAAGCTGAGAAGGAGTGTGATTTCACCCTGTAAAATTCATCCAGAAAGTAAAGATGGGGGAGAGAGAGGAGCTAAAGGATCACAGATATAAAATATGGCCTGCATAATTTTTTAGATTGGAAATTGGAAGTCTTCTAACTTCCATACTAGTGGAATGCAGTTCTGAAAAATCATGCCAATAAGAACAGCAGGAGACAAAAAATACATTTTTAAAAGTTGGAACTTGACAGTTTTTTAAGGCATTTTGTGATGAGGTTGCTCATTGGAAAAGACTAAATTTATGGGTCCATTTGGCCCTTGCTCAGCCTGCGATTTTCTCAAAGCAATTGATTTCTTGTGTGCTTTTTATAAATACATTTGCAGTATTTCAAAATGCAAAATCTCTTCAAAATTCAAGATTCTTTGATGATGATGTTCAATGTTTCTGTATTGTTTGCCTTAAAGAGAGAAAAACAATAAAGGAAAATTGGAAGTATCTCATGGAATTGAAGTTTTCCCACAAAGATGCTTTAATTTTGAGAAGGTTTACATAGCTATATGACAAAGAAAAGCATTTGGGTATGTGTACATATGCATTTAAGAACAGCATCCGTGTCTGACACTGTTTCTGCATTTGCTCTTCTGTGTGATAGGAGTTGCAGTGCTTTCAGTCTGGTAATAGCCATGATCAATTTCAAGAAACTGAGGGTTCGTTTTAAACCTCTGTCCCTCAAGTCTTTAAAAAAAAAAAAAAAATAAAAATCTCTGATTGATAGGATAAATACTCTGGTATTTTCCATGTTGTCTTCCTAATTTGGAAATCCAGATCTTCCTTGTTCAATGTTTCTTAAGAAATTTTCATAAGAAAACTACTGATGCTACCAGATGAGGGGAATATGACAAGCCCTCTCCATTTAGCTCTTAGCAAACCCGTGGGTCTAGCTCTTAGGAGGATGTAATTAACAGTACACACTACACCCACAATGCTGATGAAACCCAAGTGGTCATGCAGGAGCCACCAGGATCTCATTTGTTCCAGACACACCTGCTGCACTGCCTGTGCCTCATTACTGCGTTATGAAGCACAGGGCAGCTGCTGAGGACTTTCCCTAGCATGGCTGTCCTTATCCATGCTAGTTGTACACAGGTCCCATGCCTGGACGTTTGGTGCCTCACCAGCACTCGCAGCTCTGCAGTGCCATCCCACCAATGCACACCTTGTGTAGTGTGCCAGCTCATCAACCCAGAGCATTTCCTATTTCTTCTCTGCAGTTCAGGGTCTTTGGTGGTCTTTGAACTTCCTTGAAGCCAATCCTGAAGGTTTCTGATGCAAGAGAGGCTCCATGATTTGCACAGAGCTGAAAAAACAACTTGTTAATCTGGACTTCTTTCCACCTCTGCTGTGCGTTATATCCCCATTCAGAAAAGGTGATTCATTCTAGTTTCCACAATTGCACCCCACTTTTAAAAAACAAACAACAACAAAACATTTATATACATATATATATAATCATTCAGAAAAGCAGAACTTTATAGCCAAATTCAAACCTTGTAGAGAAAAAAAAATGTAAAAACACCTAGATGCATAATTGCCATTTGTCCACCTTAAATTGCCTTGTCTTGCTAGCTTCTTGATAACCTAGAAATTCCAGAGTTTTCTGGAGCAAATGCTGAAATATGGAAACGCTGGATAGTTAGTAGGAGCAAAATCAGCATATTTATGTGTGAACTGCTTCAGTAAACCTCGTGTCTTTTTACCCTTTTTATCTGTTCACTAGGTCTGGGGATTTGGACTGTTTTATGGATGAAGACCTGAATGTATAAAAGGGGGGACTGGTTATCGCAGTGGGCATGGAGCCTCCCTCGGGACTGCGGTGATGAAGGTGGCATCCCAAACGGCGATGCTTCTGGAGAGATTCAGGACCATGACCTCAGTCACAGGACTCTGCGTGGGGAGGATTTTACACACGTATTTTCCTGACCGTAAACTTATTTCCCACACCGCTGTTACACGGGCGGTGCCAAGCACTGAGGGGACTTCGACTCGTGACATGGCTGCACGATAAAATAAATAAATGAATAAAATAATAATAAAAAAATAGACGGACCAAGCCGGCTTTGCCGAGCTTCTTTCACTGAGGTGGTCCCGGGGGCTGGGGGTCTTTGGGGCAACGGCCAGCAACGGCCGCCAACGGCCAGCAACGGCCGCCAACGGCCGCCAACGGCCGCCAACGGCCAGCAACGGTCGCCAACGGCCAGCAACATCCATTGCTGAGAGGACTACATCTCCCAGCAGCGCCGCGGCCGCGGGAAGTGCGGCACCGCCCGCCCCTCGGGCAGCCGCCGGTGCCCGCTGCGCTCCGCTCGCCCCGGTCGCTGCGGGGATGGCGCCGTGAGGGGCCGAGGCGGGTCCCGGCGGCTTTGTCCCGGTCGCGGCTGAGCCGCCGCCGCCTTGCCGGGCGGTGTCCCCCCGCGGGGGGAGGCGCCGTCAATGCGTAGCCTGTGGCTGCTCGGCTTCGCGCTGGGGGTCGCCGCGGCGGGCGGCGCGGAGGGCGGCGGGGGCCGGGTGAGCGCGGAGCTCAGCGCCGTGTGGGGGCCCGGGCTGCGGGCGGCCGCCGTCCTGCCCGCCCGCTACTTCTTCGTGCTGGCCCTGGACGCGCAGGGCCGCAGGTAAGGACGGCGGCGGCCCCCTCCGGCACTTGGCAGGGCGAGGGGGACCGCGAAAGGGGGTGGTGGTGGTCTCCGTGCGTTAGTCTCTAAAGAGACTAACTGGCGAAGAAGCCAGTTAGTCTCTTTAGAGGTATCAAATACTGTGCAATGGGATGAGAGGAGAAAATAAAGAATCCGAAAACGACAAACAGTAAAGTGTGTATTGGTCTAATCAACAGTATATGATTTTTTTCTGCTGTGTCAAATACTTAAGAGTAACTAATTTATGATATATCTGTTTGAGTGTCCCACCTGTTTCTGCTATCAGGAATATCAGCATTTCAAACAGGTAGGCACCAGATCAGTAGAGTCATTTAGTGCGTACTCTGTAGACTTTTAGGTAAACTTTGTAGGAATTAAATAGGTAAACTTAGTTTTTACAAGAAACTCATGGCTTTCAATTTCATCAGCTTGCCTTCTCATTTCTTCCCTAATCAGGTTTGTGTGGCTCTATTCAGGTATCCTTACAGGAATGGACTCCATGTTATCCATTATTCATAGCCTGTGGTGATTTCTCCAGGGTTAGGGAGCATTTCCCACTTCCTAGGTCCAGGTAGATGCCTCAGCCACATCTCAACCCACTGTTAGGATGCAACAGGGTTCTCCACATCTCTTCTGCAGTTTTCTCCAGGAAAGAAATTCTGACCTTACAACTAGTTAGGATGTGCTTGCAGTGCTCCAACCAGGTTGTCCAGATTAGATGCGCTGTGGCACATGCAAGTCTGGCAGGTGCCAGTTCAGCTTATCTTGGGCAGTAAATATCTCCTGTATTTTCTGACAGCTCTCCAGTATGTCTGGACAAGTATACATTGAATTACACAATCCTACTATAATATTTTTTCCCTACCAAAACATGAGCATTTGTAATAACCCTTTTTTTTTTTTTTTTTTCCTCTGTATGAGATACCATAAAGATTAAGGACTGCAAACGTTATTAGAAGTTTAACTTCATTCTTCACTGCCATAAATAGTACCTGGGAAATAAAGTCAACTGGAAATATTTTGCTTCCGTATATGTAAAATAACATTATTATTAAGCTTGTCAGATGGAGCTTATTATGTTTTGTTGTTGTTGCTTTTTTAATATATATATCCACCAACGTCCAGTTACTTGCATGCTCTCTACCTCCCCATCACTACACCTGGGAGCTCCAAGTATAAATAACCAAGAGCCCCACTGGATTTTTGAATGTGCTCTGCTCCCAAATAGTCAAAGCAAAGACTAAAACATTGTTCAACATACAGGACACCAAGTAATTTTCAAGGTGTGTTCATGAATATCTGAGTGGAAATGCCTTCATACTTAGTGCTTTTAAGAGCATGAGACATTTTAGGTAACCTGACAAATTTCTGTTTGGGATCATCATGCCTGCCTTGTGAACATTAGGATGTGCTCATAAAGACCTAGCATGGCTTAGTGAAGTCACTGGAAATCTGTTCCATTTCAAATGAATGGATAAAACTAAGAAAACATTTGTGTGTTTACTTTTTAAGTCAGCTCCCACTTATTCTCTGGGTAGGTTCACTTCATCACCGGGTGAAAATACATTCCAGGTGAAGATCACTGCTCCTGATGAACAGTTCACTCGGGTTGGTGTGCAAGTATTAGACAGGAAAGATGGTTCCTTCATTGTGAGATACAGGATGTATGCAAGCTACAAAAGCCTGAAGATAGAAATCAAAACCAGAGATAAACATGTCGCAAAGTCTCCGTATATTTTAAAAGGTAAGAAGCAGCACTATGCACGAAACTCATAGCTTTCTGTCAGAAAGCACATCCTACAGTATTTTCAGGGAGTAGCATAGGATCATAGTAGCAGGACCTCAGTACTTCTCTGGAAATGCTGAGGACTTTCAAATCCCATGGAATTACAGACTATTTGTAAGTGTCCTGCAGGTACTATTCAATAGAGTAAAAAGGAGTGAAGTGCTATGAAGCTAATGCCAAGCAAGCAAGCAAAGGGCTTGCACAGAAGTTGATGTAGCTTGGCGTGATGCCATTGGACTCAAAAAACAAACAAAATACCACTACCAAATAAAAGCTTGTCTGTTTAGAGTTGCTGAAGGTTTGGCCCTAGACAGTGAATGCTCAGTGCTTGACCCTCTTTTCTGATCTCAGTGGCGTAATAGTGTGGCTCATTAAAATAACGATTGCATTCCTAATAGGTCCTGTTTACCATGAAAACTGTGACTGCCCTCAGGAGGAGAGCAGCGCGTGGCTGGAAGAGATGAACTGCCCTCAGGTCATTCCACAGATTCAGAGGGACCTAGCAAATTTTCCCATTGTTGATCCAGATAAGATTGCGAAAGAAATCCCACAGAGGTTTGGACAAAGGCAGAGTTTGTGTCATTACACCATCAAAGATAACGAGGTACAGTATGGGTTGATCTGAAGTCCTTATGGAGATTTGGTGAAAAGCAATAGAATTTGGCCTCTTGGCTATTCCAGCTCAGAGGCTTCTTGTTGTCTGTTCTTTGAGAAACTTCTTTGTCTGGCTTCTGTCCTTGAAATTGAATACTTTGCAGTTTGTGTATGAGCTCAGTAATATCTGTCTTGCTTTGTAAACTGCTTTTTGTCCATGTTACAACCGAAGCAATTGCAGCACAGTGAAGGCACATTACTTTCCAAGCAATCAATATGAGTGTTGGGAACAGAATCCAGCCTCCAAAATGCTTGCTCAGTTTTCTGTTCACTGAGCAGTATTGCTGTGAAGTGTCACGATCTTCTAATTGTGACATGCATCAGTGCAACTACATTGTGCCTAAGGCTGAGGTGAAGAAATACCACTTAGCTCCACTGAGGATCAGAGCAATAATTCTCTGCAATAAAACTGTACAGACTTCAGTAGAGTCATATGGAAGTGGGAACAATGGAACACAATAGAGGCAACCAATTTCTGTTTCCATGAGACAGATCTAAAATGTCTACAAATGCAAGCAAAGCTTGTCTCCCACCACCCCTTTACTATAATGAACGAGAGATTTCTAAAGCTTCCCAACTGATTCATTAATCTATAGATAAAGCCATACAGTCTGACTAGTTACTGAGTTATTAAAAAACTCAAAATCGTGCCAGTTGTTCTTTGTTATGAAAACACCAGACCAGTAAACTATTTGGGTTATTTTCAGGTTTATATAAAGACGTATGGGGAACACGTTGGCTTCAGAATTTTCATGGACGCTATACTTCTTTCTTTGACAAGAAAAGTGAGTACATCTGTGTAGCCATTTATTCTGCGTGTCCTAACTTATAGAAGCCTGGGCTTAACAAATATGCCTCAGTGTATTTGTTGCTATTTCTGTTAAAAAGCTCTCGTTCTTTCATTCGTAATGGAAAGATGAGGTGTATTGTTCTTGATCGAAGTTGGGATGTTCTGGAATGCTATCTGATGCATGTATGGAGTGTCATTGTTTACCAGGCCTTTGTAGGAGAGCTTGATAGAGTTGGACAGAGTGTGGTTTTGTTTTTGTTTTTTCCTGAAGGCTAAATAAATCATCCTATAGCACCTAATAGGCAATTCTGTCTCTGCTGAAAAAAAATGGGGAATTTATATCTTTCTTCATTAAATTCCAAATGTTGAAAACAAGATGTAGAGGGTTGAGAAAGTGCCAAAAGCCCAACAGGTGGCTTTTGAGGGAACTGTCTGGATGTACAAGCAAAAAGCACTGCACAGACTTCTAGGGAACCTCTGGAAAAAAAAAGACATTATGCACATAGTGACAGAATATAGCAGAGCTGAAGTTTCAGCACATAGAAGTGTGATTGTTATGTAAAGAGAGTAGCAGCAGAAATATTAAGATATCCAAGTTAGGCAATATCTATTTTTTACTGTAAAAAGACAAAGCACTTATCTTTGAAAGAAAGAAGAGAGAGGAGCTACTAAAGTAGGGAGTTGATCACTTAAAAAGAATCATTGCAAATCTATTCGAAAATAATAAACACATTTTTGTATGCATCTGAAAGATAAGTCAATTGGTATGAAATACCATGGGTTTATCATCCAAAAATCAAGTTATATAGCAAGGTTCCTTCTATAACAAGATAATAGGCTTCAGGAATCTTAATTTTTGTTAGGCTTTTGAGGGTAGGACTCATAAGTTTCTCACAACCAAAATAAGAGCACTTTGTCTACAATAAAATTTCTAGTCTAGTTTTTGTGAAGAAGGAACTGCTGTAAACTGCTTGGCAAACCTTGCTTAAAGAGTAGTTGCCAATATTTACGGAGAGGTGAAAGGCGTAACAAACATATTCTTTGTCTTGGGCTCAGTCCCCATTTGGTAACCTAGTTATGTTTTAACTCAGTGATGGACTACAGAATATGCCTACTGAACTTTCAGACAACAAAAATGAAAGAACCCGAAAGCCTCTCGCAGAACAGTATCAGGATTATAATTACCAAGTAATTATTGTATGGAAAAAAAAGGATAACGTGACAAAGGATACTACACAAAATGAATCATATAGTTACAGTACTTATCTAAAATAGGGAGTGGGTGGCTATTTCTGCAGAAAGTGTGAAGGTTATAGCATCACAAATTTAAAAGGAGTCAATGGTGGCACGCTGTTGGAAAAAAGAAACAAAAACAAAACAAAACAAAAATACATTAACAGAGTAACAGAATAAACACATGAAAGAAATGTCAAGTTACTTTTCCACTATACCCAGGATTAGTAATGTCTCAGTTATGCTATTGTGTCTAACTTCGGCCATCATGCTTCGAAAAGGATTGTTCAATTATTGACATTACATGGGAAAATGTTAGGAGAGGCCAGGCATACAGTCAAGCGGGGGTTACATGTATTTCGAGTAATGAAGTCTAAGGGAAGACATAAATGTAGCTTCAATTATATTAAAGGTTGCTCTATGGAAGTTGGAAGTAAGCCTTTCAGCAGCATTGGACAAGAAAGAACAGAAAAAAATCTATCAGAGGGATTTAGATTAAGCTACAAAGGCAGAATCTGTTTGCAGTTTTAGAAAACACAATTAGCCTCATCCCCATTAAGAATCCTCACAGGAATTTCTGTTAGTGTCATTGAGAGACAATAGATCTGTTGGGTTGGCTGTCACTGCAGATGTAGATAAAATACAATGTATAGCTTTCCTATGTCCATTATAACCATTAGATGGCACTCTACTAATAAAGTTAAGCGCTGAAGATCAGAAGGTGTAGCCAAACCCCCTCTGAGAGGAAGGGACGCAGTGAAACCGTTTCTGTCTGCGTGCATACTGAAGACCAAAAGTACTGCTCTGGGTCTCTGTCTTTAGAATTTCTGGGTGTTTCTGCCAAAGGTTTTCCTAAATCATCAGGTTAGAGAAAAATGTCTTCAAGCATTTAGGAAAGCATTTGGTAGTCAGCAAATGATTAATTTCTTTGTCCATAAATTAAATTAGAAACTTAATGAAAACCTATTTGGGCCACAGAAGAATCCTGGAGAATGTTAGACTGCCCAGCCATTCATACGTGAAGAGTAAGGGGGGGGGAGTCAGAAGTATGCTTAAGTATGGTGGGGAGTCAGAAGTAGGCTTTACATATTTTTACATGTATATGCATATTTTAATTTGGGAATTATTAATATATTCAGAAGTGTTCTTTCTTCAGAGAAGGTAATTTTCATACAGTCAACAAGGTGGTCCAACTTACCTTGGAGTTATACAGTTGCTTACTTAGGTCCCAGTGCTAGCCTGGAACAAGGACTGTACGGCCAATCATCTAAAGTATAACAAGCAACTGTTTTCTAAACTGGGAGAGAGACCTCCTAGGTGATTTTGTGACATTCTTATAAATAAATAAATAATCTTACAGACCACTTAATGTTTCTAACTTTACGTATTACAGGTACATTGAATATTACTACAGAACAGGCTTTTTTTTTTTTCTCTCTTGGTGATGTTGTTCTCAAATTGCAAGTTTCCACCAAAAGAATGCTGCGTCATATTGAAAAGCGTTTGTGCCTCCTTTGCTTCTGTTTAGGTGAAAATGCCAGATGTAGAATTTTTTGTTAACTTGGGGGACTGGCCGCTGGAGAAAAAGAAACCTCCGCAGAACCTGCACCCTATCTTCTCATGGTGTGGGTCCAGTGAATCAAAAGACATCGTCATGCCAACATATGACTTAACAGACTCGGTTCTGGAGACTATGGGACGGTAAGAGATCTTTTATTTTCTTCACAAAGTTCATAGTAAGTGTTCTTCCAAAAAGGTATTTACGTTATCAGTACATTAACTTTTATTTATTCATTGAGACATTGATACAGTATAGGTAGCCAATAATTATTTAATTGGCATCATAGCATGAACCAATTTGTACATTCTACAAGTTACATGTATGAAAACATACTCCACTATTCTATTTCAAAAATCAGAATTTATCTAAATGCAGTCACTGAAAAAAGCACACGGAGTTAAACACTACAAGAGTAGGTGTTTTGTTTGTGTGCTCTGCTTCATCACGATGAACGTGCTGACAGCTGGCCAGGACTCTCTCTTCCTGTGTTTCCTAGAACATTTAAAGGCCTTTGAAGCCAGAGTGCTCAGCTGAGGACCTACCATCTCTCGCTTTGATTACTGGTACCTGGCCACGGTAACAGCCCTGCTGCTGTCTTGGAACAATACAAATACAGCTTCTAAGATATCTTCATTACTCATTTTGAACCCATATATCATTTCACTGCATTACATTCACGTTTCTAGCTTTTATTATCAAGACTTTTCCTAAATTTGCTCTGCTTGCCCACAGCTTCTGTGCTTTAATTTAGCAGGTTTCTGAGGAAGTAAATTATGCTCTGTTAAGCCACTTACATTCCAACCTTGCTTTGGACTATTTGTGGCTGCCTCATCACCATTTTCAATTATTCCTTTACCCTGCATCACCCATGGCAACCATACCCACTTTTAGCTGCTTTTTACACAACAACTGACAGATCCTCTTTCCACACACAGTTCTCTCTTGCCACAGGTCTGTGGATTTGACGTTCCCTATCTCTTTTTATCATTGCAAAAATACTGATACAATACATATACAGGTATAATCATGACTCACCCTCATCTTTGGTATTTTCCTATTAGTACTATAAATTATTTCAAGTAATCACACTAAAATAAATCCAAATCACATGTAAAAAAAAATCCAGTGGGCATCACAAATAAATCACTACTTTCTCCTGCAGGGTTAGTCTGGATATGATGTCAGTTCAAGCAAACACCGGCCCATCATGGGAAGACAAGAATACCACGGCATTCTGGAGAGGACGTGACAGCCGCAAAGAGAGGCTTGAACTTGTAAAGCTCAGTAGAAAATATCCGGAGATCATAGATGCTGCTTTCACAAACTTTTTTTTTTTTAAACACGATGAAAGCCTCTATGGACCCATTGTTAAGCACATTTCGTTTTTTGATTTTTTTAAGGTAAGCCGCTAGTCATTTATATTTTGTAGAACTAGGTTCTCAGTGTTTTCCATTACCAAATAACTCTGTATATATTATTTATAAGGAAGTGATTTTGGTTTTCCAGCACAGCAACGACAAGCATAAGTAGGCTTCTCTCCGCTGGGACTAACTGCTGTGCAGCTCTTAGACTGAGAATAAAGATGTCTGATTTACATCTAAAGGTTCTGCAGAACCTGGTGTAATCTAATAACTCCAAGTTCCTTTTTATTTCTTTTTCCTGGTTCAGTGATCAGGACTACTAACATAACTAACATAGTGGGAAGTCAGTGGATGAAGTGGCACATCAACCCTCACATCCCAGGATGAGCGTCTAAGAATGTCCGGAGAGCTTAACTGATGAAGAGGGCACCTGTGTACCCTGCACTGCGATGAATTCCAAACTAAATAACAAAAGCTACTTAAAAATTGATGCTTGCCTAGCCAATCCGACATTTCTCAATATCAGCAAGTCAGTAATACCGGTGCCCTCAGAATAACACGAGCTAACCAGGCTACTTGGGTCTTGTTTGTTAATAACCTCTGGTCGTTTTCTTCCCCAGTATAAATATCAAATTAACATTGATGGCACAGTGGCAGCATATAGATTGCCTTATCTACTAGCAGGAAACAGCGTTGTGCTAAAACAAGACTCCATCTACTATGAGCATTTTTATAATGAGCTGCAGCCATGGAAACACTATATTCCATTCAAAAGTGATCTGAGCGATCTCCTAGAAAAACTACAGTGGGCCAAAGAGCACGATGAAGAGGTAAATACGCATTTAGAAGTACTTGGCAATGTTTCTTGACAAATAAGAGTTTCTTGACAAACAGCTTTGTCTTGAGCAAAAAACACATTTCTTTAAAACAAAATCTGTTATTTCCTTCTGAAAGGACTTCAGAATGAGCATCATCAAGTGCATAAATAGAAGCAGTTTTTAAGAATACATAATGCTGCCCTTTGCTTGGCAATTAATAGGAATTTTGGAGACTATTTTCATAAGAATGCCTTACTTTTACAATTAATAATGCTTAAATTCCTAATCCCTTCCATGTATCAGTAAGAGATTTATGTTACTGTTTTATGGACAGTTCAGTGCTGGGACATGTAAACACTAGATAAAAATAAATGATGAACTATCTTAAACTATCAGCACCCTAGAATCAATAGTAGCATCCTGAAATAGCTACCATTTTTAGAGAATTTAAAACAAACAAACTCTTTCTTTTGCAGGCCAAAAATATTGCAAAATCTGGACAAGAATTTGCAAGAAACAATCTCATGGGAGATCACATTTTTTGTTACTACTTCAAACTTTTCCAGGTTAGTGTATTCTTAACTACTCCCACAAAAATAGAAATCCCATAGAGAGAATTCAGGACAACACAGCTGCTGGAAATTGGCCAATCTGGCACTTGAAGCCACAAAGCAAGTGGCAGCAATTAGGAAATTCAGTTGGTTTATAAACACTGCATGCTGTTGTTTCCTGTGAAACCCCGTAAGACTCTGAGGGTGGTTTGAGAGCAGCAATCAGATCCCGTAGATCTTGACTTAATCTGCAAGGATACGTTGCTCACAATGATCAAAGAACTCCCCATCAGACACACACCCTGTGAACCACAGCTGAAAATATCTCTGCATTAGCACCAGGATATTGAAACTCCAGTGAGGCACCCGAAGGGGCTCCTGTCAACAGTTGGGTATCTGTTTACCCTTTCTGTGGCACAGCGTGGACAGAGTAGAAAACCGTGTAGTCCTGGAGTTTTTACAGAATTATTCAGCTGAGTTGTTGCAGGATTTACAACATAACGAGCTTATGAATTAACACCACCTTTCTTTTTTTAAAACTAGGAATATGCCAGTTTGCAAGTGAATGAGCCAAAAATCAGAGAAGGCATGGAGAAAGTGCAGCAGCCTGATGATGACCTCTTTCCATGTACTTGCCACAGAAAAAAGGTACAATATATATGGTGTTAAATGTAAAGTGCTCAATGTCTGCAGTTTGTATTCAACCAAATTGAAACAACTGTTGCTCAATACCACATACTCTGTCACCAGACTATTAGTGGCTTAAAAACATTTATTGGTGTGTTTGCAGGACTAGACTATTGAAAATTGAGTTTCCAATTAACTGAAAAATGTTTCTTCTTTCTCTATTACAGACCAAAGATGAACTTTGACAGAAAGAAATAAAATAATTTTTTGGATATTTACCTACATTCAGAATCACTTCTTCAGGACATAAGGAAACCTTGAATTAAAAATTAAATGGTTATTTTGAAGTTTACTCTATCATGATCTACATACAGAAGACAACCAACCATTGCCTGTTTCCTTTTTATCATGGAGCAGTCACAGAGCCTTGTTCAACACACATTTTATAACTTTTTTTTTTTAAATAAAAAACACATTTATATCAGTTACTTGGTACTGTCCTGAGATACTTTTCAAATGCAGGTACTTTTTACTCAGACAAGGTGCCTGGGATACTGAGTCTAGCATGTTCAGCAAAAACAGCCAGATAAGAATTGTATACCTGCTCCCTGGCATGCCTGTCAAAAGCAATCATTCTCAGACCGTAATTTTGTTCCTTCTGAGACAGTCAATATTCTCAAAGACAATGATGTGGGGTTTGTATTCTTTAACCTGAAGGAAAAATACAACTCTATTGGACACTTATCTTAGATAAAAACTGATTTTTCACAGATGCTTTCTCTGTGAAACTCAGTCCCTTCGGAAATATAAAAAGAATTAAGTGGCACTGAGCAGTGACTATTGATAATAAACCAATCATTCTTCTACAATTTGATTCTGCTCTTAAAATAACTATTTTCCACTGGTGTTAAGTAACTCAGCTGCTACGTTCTGAGCATATCATCATCATCACAAAATGCTACACTGGTAGATGTCAAGTCTAAATTCATCACATTCTAAAGTTTGAACACACCTCCCCAGTCAAAAGTGGGGATTTATTTTCTCTGTAAAACAGTGAACTTAAAATAGCCACACAGATTTTATGTGCCTTTTGAAATTGGCTGTGAGCATCTAGATGCGTCCCATGCTTACTAAACAACACTACTGATGGGCAATCAGCATTCTTGAGGTGCCTTGTAAGAAATGACAATATTATATCTGATTTTTCATTTTCATCTGTCTATTGATTATTTTTTGCTATAGTAAAAGCAAGCTTAGAGTAGTTTGTTCAATCACTTGATAAGCTGTATAATTTAACTGCAATAAACTAGTCATGAATAATTGTTTTTTTACAGTAATCACCTGACCTTTTACAGTACAGCACCAAAACAAAGCTAGCAGATGCAGTCACCTGACCAAATCCTCAGAGAAATCCTCTGAGCTCACCACAGCTGACTCAGTGCATTTAAGCAGTTCTGTGCTGCCACACACAGCAGTCACTCCCCAGAACCACCTCCAGGCTAGAACGGGGAACTGATGACACTGCAGCAGTGAGCTGCAAGCTGTAATGATGCAGTACAACCAGAGGAGGCTGTAGGAAACTCTTGGCAGTGGAGATGAGCCCAGTGTCTCAGAAGACAACATCAAGGTGTTTGTCTCAGGACCAACCGGCAGTTTCAACTCAGATTATCATGCAGCTGATACATGCTGATCATCGGCTGAAAGCAGTTAGCCCGTTGCTACAACCTGGTTATACCCACAGGTCTCTCAGTCCATAATGGGGAAGATAACACCTGCAGGCACCTATGAAGTATTTTATAATCTTAGAATTATTAAGGTTGCAGAAGGCCTTCAAGGTCATCTGGTCCAATCTTATCCAATCTACTCCCATCACAGTTCATGTAGCACAGCAGAATGCCCCAACAGGGCACCAAGACAGAACAGTAAAACCCTCGCTGTCCAGCCCTGGGAGATATGCTCACAGAGTTTTACAGATCAGTATGTTTTAAGTTCAAACATGGATAGTATCAGTAATAGACTCAAAAATAAAAACACATCTGAAGATTTGGAGTCCAAACATTTGAATATACTGAAAAAAAAACAGTCAAAAACCATTTACTTGGTAATGCAGAGCATTAAATGTTGTGTATAGTTTTTGCATGGAAATACTAAAAACAATGTTGCTCAGACACTGAATATTTGATGTTTCCCATCTTTCTTTTAAAATGTTTTTATTGTTTTGCATATTTTTTTCCTTTCATTAAAAAAAAAAAGTTTTATTTACATTTACCCTTAGACTTATAAAATACTTGTTTTCAAAAATGTATGCCACAAACTGATTTGTTGCACTTAAGAAAAAGCTGATTGAAGATACTAGTTAACCACTCACTGCAAGTCATTTGTGCTCCAGTTCAATATTCTCTCTAAGCCAAGAAAAAACTTGTGCGTTTATTTCTTCCATGACATCGTCTTCTGCTCGTCCTTTAACTGCCATCCCATGGTTTGCTTTATCAATCCAATGGATTTTTTTAGGGGCTTTCATTTTGCTTGCCACACCTTCTAACAATTGCTACAGAGAAAATAAGAAGGGGAAAGTTAGATAATTAGCTGCTACAAATTGTCTAACACACAGACGTCTCTCACTTTGCCTATGTAACACATAATAGGAAATGTTTAAAAACAAAAATGGATTGGCATTTACATTAAAGAGACAGTAACAGAAAAGATGTGATAATACTGTATTCAGTAATATAATTTACTCAAACACTAGCCCTCAGTATCAGTCACTCACTCGTACATCTAAAAGTAGAAATGTAGAACTTCATAACCTTGTGAAGGCTCCTTGCCCACACTCAGACAGAACGCGCTCCTACTGCAAGAGGGGGTACAGCACTGAAATGGCAGAACTATACTCAGATGTGTCTACAGTGCCAGAGTATCAGCACAACCCTCTGGAGACTAGTGCTCTGTTCAGCTGTCTCCAAAGTGGAACCAGCTCACAAGGGCTTGAAGATCTTCCCCCTTTAGGAAGGCACTCCAGGTATTTGCCGGTTGCTAACCACACTAATTTCAGTGACAACTCCTCGTGAAAGCGTTCTGACTCCTTAGAAACTGTCCAAGCATGGAAAATGGTAACTGCATACATACCATCCCAAACTGAAGCCAAACAGTTCAAGAACAACGGATAACTGCTTTGTAAGAAAACAGTAGAAAAACATTGTATTCTGATCACTGCACACCTGTTCTTCATGTCAACAAAAATGCTGCTATCAAAAAAGCTTAACTTCTGGGTAGAACTGCTTTGCTAGAAGAATGTTATGAAAATTTGACAAACGTGGACTAGTAGCATAGCAGTACTTAGGTTTTCTAACTTGAGCTGGTGAAAACAGAAGAGCAAATAACTTGCTCCTTCTACACGTCACTTAATTCATAAAAATCTTTGCTATCAAAAGACCAAAAAAAAAATAATTAAAAGCTGGATTATTTATTTGCCAAAAGATAAGTTTCCCAAAGCAGTTGATCAAACAGTATCCAAGCATGTGAAAAAGCATAAGAAATCAACCCAGGATTCCCTAAATCTGATGAAGTTTCCTACCCAAATCTTCCTTCAGAAGATTTATATTTGTATTTATATTTACATTCCTATTTAGAGAAGGCTGTTAATCAAAGTCACTGCTGTGGATACCGGTACAAACACCACTCAGACTCATTCCTATTCCTCCATGCTGCCCTTTGACAGAAGGATTTACGAAGATACTCACTTTTTCACACATCTCATCTGCTGATCCTGAGACAAACAGCACTGGACACCTGATAAATAATAAATCTTCATCCCGGAGCTTGGACTGCAGTTTTGGTCGATGAAGCGGGTAAGATAAACACACTAGACCTTGAATGAAGTCATCATTGTCATCATCCTCGCTGAGCTGACGTATCACAGAGGCAGCAGCTCGTGAGCCCATGGAACGGCCTTTCTCCCACGTTAAAATAAAGGAAAAAAGTATATCCGCAATCACCTCACCTGCATTCTTAGCATGCTCAACTCCTAAATACATTCATATGGCTTGTTTTTAAGTGTATATGTAGTACAAAATGCTAGGTATACTTTTATTCATTTTTCTGCTACGATAATTGTATGGTTATAGTATGTTTCCACATACCCAATTAAAAAAGAAAAAGAAAAAAGAGAAACTGACAAGGATCCTTTGCAATACTGGAAGGACCAAGAGCTCATCCTATTGAAGGGGTTGAGTGAGGGAGAGAGAGGACAGGTCCTGCACTTCCAAACAGATCCTTAAACTCTGAAATAATGCAATTAACTTGCGTTTGTTCTTTCATGCAGCCTTAATCTGCTCATAGTAAAAACCAACATTTTAAGCTCCTTACTCCCCACACAAATCCAGCAAGCGTTTATGTACACATTAATTTTCAGCTTAAAAATAGAAAGGGAAAAAAAATAAAGAGTGAACATGCAGCATGAGGTCGGTTAGTAACAGCAAGGGGATATCAAAATGCCTCCTCAAAGAAGCAGCATATGAGCTGACAATGCTCTATAATTGAGTGTTAGAAGTAGTTGATTCCAGTGGGATTAACTTGCCTCAGGGCAGATCTGGTTTCGCTTAGTCGGACAACATTTTTAAGTTTCCAGTATCAAGTTGTTCCTAGTTACCCCCATCTATTTCCCTTCTCACAGAATGTAACTGATTTTCTACCTGCCACTAGGTTTATGTACCAAATCCTGCTTTGGCAAAATGGCTGTTTACCAGAAACCAGAATTCAAGACTTTTAATTAAAAGGTACACAAGGACTATCAGAGAACTTGTACCCTGTCACAAACCAGGCAGGTTTTCTCCCCAAGTCGGAGCTAAATCATGGTCTATTGCTCTTTCTTTCATCCTTCTAAAAGATCTACAGCACCAAGAGGACAACGAATAGATCCAGATGCTTCCAAAATAATTCTGTGAACACATCAGGCTAGATATTCCGACTTGAAATCCAAGAAGCAGAGCTGAGCTATACGCCCACCTGGCTCATCCCCCAGCTACACACCTTGTTGGATTCAGCTCCAGGTTAAGACACACAAATGCAGATCTGCAAATGAGGTCGGCACCTACGTTCTCATTGCAATCCGTGGGCTTCTAGTCAATTTATGAAGATTAGAGAGCATTCAACACTCTGGAAAGAAGACTCTCCTAGCCTACAGCTGAATTGCTGTCATGAAGCAGTAATGACCAGTGGGATTTTTTCAGCTTGTTCCCACCCAGGACAGCGAGCTTTTAGTGCATACCACCAACTGAAACCTGTCATCCACATCTAGTGTTTCACTTCTTACCAAAGCAGGACGGACTGTAAAAAACTGAGTAATTAGAGATTGCTATCATTACAGCCAGAATGAGAGGGAAAACTATAAATAATAAAAACTGTACCTGCAAGGAAGACACCTGAAAGTTTATAATCATCAGAAAGCTTTAAGTATTCCTAAAGAAATAAGAGAAGAGAGAAACA